ATGCAGTTTATGCTGTACAGCTTTTGAAGGCAGTGATATAACAGTCTTGTGTATTGCAACATTGTGTGACCGAAGCGTGACGCTAACAGTTTATCCTATTTGGACCTATAGATTGTTTTTCAGCTGGTTACATCCAGTCGCAGAGAGTGACTTTCCTCTGAAGGAAGATAGTAAGAAATCTAGCTTTTTAGTAATAAATTCTAATCGTTAATCGGTGTTTCTTTTCCAGTTTCATTAGCCTTCAAATCGCCAGTTACTACTAAATTGTTTTGTAGTACTTTCAGATTTAATTATTTTTATGTTTTATTGTACCTCTACTCAAATATTATTTGTCAGTGTTTTGTGCACATTTACACAGACGTATTCAGAGCACTCATCATTAGGTATTAAAAAATTCATTGTTTCGAAACCCATAGGACTCCTTCGCCACATCGAATATTCACACTTTTTGCTCATTAATTCCTATATGTGCCTATTGTATGATACCGTATAAAATGAAACCTACATAATGTTTTGCATTCCTCTCGTAATCAGCAGTACAATTAGTAGTTATGAAGACTACGATGGTTTTATAGAAAGGGATTTTATGGTTATGAAAGAGGGAATCGTTGTTGTCAGGTTCGTTTCGTTTCATCATAGCTACGTCATCGTCTCGAGTACAGAAGTGTCGTCGCCTATGACTGACCATCAGAAACCTGACAAGTAATGTTGCAGAATGTCTTGATGGAAGGAGCGCTTGAAGAAAGACGGCACTGTTACGCTGAGCAGCTTTAAAAATCGACTTATAATAAATTCTACTTTGAAGCGCTCCATTTCACAGAATTCTTTTTTCTCTGTGTATATCTACGTTGCTTAAAGCATTTTTTCAGCGCATTCTTCTCCTCGAGGTCTTCCCTGAAATGTGTACTGTCTCTCGGACATAGTCTAACGTCTCTTTGGCCTAGCAAATGGTCGGTTTTTCCTTTTAACGTACCTTGCCCATTGCCTTTTCAGCTTCGTCGCTCCTGCATGCTCTTTCTTACTTGTGATCTTGCTCACTCGTTCGTTCTTTCAGTTTTTTGTCATTTCCAACTTTACACTTTTTTATGTTGTGTTCCGTAGTCTGTAGTTGATAAACAACTTTCATATGTAAGGTTCATGCGTCGCATGCATACTTTCACACTGTAGGCATCCTAGTCTACTGAGCCCAGCTGTGTGTCATCTCGTTGTTTGTTACAATAAGCAGTCATAAACAGGCAGCGGTAGGTGCTAACTTGATATGACTGACAATGGGTCCGGTGAACCCATCATCTGCAATATGTTCACAGAATCGAATGACGGTCCCGTTTCTAAGCCAGAACGATCCGTCAGTAATAAAGTCACTAATGTCACTGCTGTCATGCTGTTAGATTTGAGCAAGTCAAAGCTGGAAGAGACAACCTGGATAATAAGTCAGGCAGCTGTTGGACACTCGTCTGCGTCAACCAACCCCGTGGAAGTGCAACTAGTCCTAACACTCCCGTCTAATACTGCTGCATCCACTGTAATTGCCTCACATGGTAGTGACAGTCCGGTGACTCGTGCGAATAGAACGCAAACTGAATTGCTCATGCACCGTTCAACCACTTCGATCACCTTTGTACGTTACTCGGTCTCGGAGTCAATCCCTTACGGCTAGCACTTTATCCTATTACAAAGAAGATATGTTCTCTCTGATGTCCGCATCCCTCAGACTGTATCAAGGTCATGTAAAATTTCTGTCTGAACAGCAGTACTGGCTGTACCACAGTGACCTATGGAATAACTCCTGAAAAAATGACGTGGTCGTAGTCCTTTCTGATAAAGCGTATGATGCTCTTCTCTCGTGGCTTTTAGAGATCTCGTTTCTCCCTTACTCGCTACTTTGTGGAGCTGCTTTTAACTTTTCTATCATCGCAATCTACTCTCCCACGTTAGACGTAGACGATGTCGTGAAAAATGAATTTTCTTCTGGCTTACAAGTTCTAGTGGACAGAATTCTCAGACGTTACCAGATGGTGGTGAATGGAATGCGAAGGTGAACTCTCGGGAATAGAAAACAATCAGACTGACTGCGCTATGGAACGGTGCAGTAATGATGAGTGGCTACCCCAGTTAACCGAAACAAACAGTTTCGTGACGCACACCCAGTTCCGTCATTGTCGAAAACCTATTAACGTGGTATTTGAACGACGGCGGTCAGTGAAGCCGATTACATGTTTCTTACTGCAAGATGGTTTATCTGTTTTCTCAGCAGTTGTCAGTGCGTTTGACTGAGATAAGTAACATTTACTGCACGAACCATGTAATGGTTTCCAAAAATGAGTCTCAAGTTGGTGAAGAAAGTTAAGTTTTCCTCCAAAAAGCGTATCGATTATTCGATACTCCAGAATAAACTAGTGATTCAGGCGTTTCAATCTGGTACATGCAGTCGTCTCCAAACAGCACCACGGTCGAAACATGCGTTACTTTAGAGGAAGGGTGGTCGTCGTTGAAGCAGACCTTGAAGCATTTCGCTTCCAACATGCTTCTCTATGCAAGACGACTGGATCACTGCACTTACTCTCAGGCATACGAAGGACCAACCCTCTGTACTATCGTGGGGTGACCGACGGGTAGATGAAGAAGATCCCAGTCAGCAACAGAGTCGCTACCCGTTCTGAGCGGAAGAGACAGACAGTGCGATGCCATTATAACACATCTGATAAGGCTTCACGAGAACGATACAGACAGTGAGAGCTTACAGTCAGAAATTGGAACATATTCTCACTCAGAGGGAAAGAGGCCGCTGAGTACCAATTCGATAGAATTCCATTCTTGTCAATGAGGTTGCAAGGTTCTGGCATTATGAAATTTTGCGGGTGGTAGCTATTCTACTGGGGTATCGACATCGCGACACGCGCTGACTTTGGTTTTAGTGTTCTGGTGCTGCCCAACCCAGTATCATTGAATAGAAACCTGTTAGCATAAAAGTCGCAGTTCTCTGATTGGAGTTACTACAGGCTCAAGCGTTGACTTTGTTGCAAGTCTGTGCCCCCAGTTTGAAGGGAGATTATATAGTAGATTTGAAGAGAGTCTTACCTTCTGGAGGGGAAAATGGTTTGTACAAAGTACCGGCGATGGTGTCACAACTTGTAATATGCGATTTCAATCTGCAAGTCAGACCGGAGACTGAAAAATGAAAAAGTGCTATTGGAAAGAAAGGCCCTAGTGACCTCAACCGTAACGGCTTGAAGTAGTTGTGGTTTTGTGGAAACAGCAGACTGTCTGTTATGAACACCGTCGAGCAGTAAAGCGTGCATCACTAAACCTTATATAGAGAAGCTTGTGCACAGAAGTCC